CACACACTGACTGACACACACTGACTGACACACACTGACTGACACACACTGACTGACTCTGACACTGACTGACTCTGACACTGACTGACTGACACTGACTGACACTGACTGACACTGACACTGACTGACTCTGACACTGACTGACACTGACACTGACTGACTGACACACACTGACTGACTGACACTGACTGACACTGACACTGACTGACTGACACACACTGACTGACTGACACTGACTGACACTGACACTGACTGACTGACACACACTGACTGACTGACACACACTGACTGACTGACACTGACTGACACTGACACTGACTGACTGACACACACTGACTGACTGACACTGACTGACACTGACTGACTGACACACACTGACTGACACAGATAGAGAATGACTGGCACACTGACGCTGACTGAACACACTACTGTGATATGTGCCGAATGTCACTACATGTTTATTTGCACACAATCGCACAGTGAACACATAACTGATATACACTACTTTATGAATACACTGCTGCCAGCCAGATCCACACAAACCCTGATTATAATTATTCACATTTATATAGCGCCAACATATTCCACAGATTTACAATTACAGACAAGTAATAGACAAATATAACAGGGACTAGAGGTGTAGAAGACCCTGATCAAATGAGCTTACAATCTATGGGATCTGCACAGTGCTTCGAATCATTCAGAAGGATATTGTAATATTTACTAAGTTGCTGAGATGAAGAAAGGGTTTAGCAATTACAGTAACCTTTAATTGTCCAACTACTCTGCTTCTGTTTATCATGCACACTCTGTGTTACGCAATAATATGCACACACATTGTGAAAGCCAAACCCTTAGATATATGAATATATAGATAGTAATGTATTGTTGATGCTTTATTATTTATTTTTTGTTTTATTATAGGAAACTACACCCGATGAGCTCCTTTCCACTGTAATGACAGCCGTTTTACAGGACTTAAACCTGAGTCCAGATAAAATTGGAGATATTTGTGTTGGTGAGAGGATGGTGTTAGTTCTAATTGCCAGGTCTTGTAAACAGAGGTTAGATGTATCTGTGGCCAGTACTCGTTATCTGTAAGTGCAAGGTACTAATAACATTTAGGGTGAGCTCCAGCCCTCAAGTCATGTGCCAGGTACAGCCATCCAAAATCTATCAGGATTCTGCCCTCAATGACCGATACCTCTTACTGAAAGGAACCTGTAGGAAACTATCCATTCAAATTTAGATCTACTCACACCTGTAGCTCTCTCTACCCATTATCAATATTTCATGTTTTTATATCCTCAATATAGTAATGTTCTTAGGCTACACACCACTGTATTGGTGTAGATCCCCAGATGATACAAAACTCCAGCTTCCATGGTGCTCTCTCATTTTAAAGGCATGCAAAGAATCATGGGAGTTGTAGTCCTACAACATCTGGGGATCTACCTTTTGGGCACCACTGGTGTAGCCCTTTCTCCTTCTACATTACCAGTAGTAGACTGTCTTTCAGGGCTGCTTCTGGTTGGCTTGGATTGTTTGGAGTTGTTGCCCTGTATGTGCATTATATATTTAAACAAATTGCATATGTGTATTGGTTGTCATTTGATGCTGCTATCACTTGGTTGGTTTGGATCTGACGCTGATGCAGGAGAATGTTTATGAAACTGGATCAAAGTTCAGATATTTCATAAAGTCAAACTTTGAACAGATTAGAAGCAGCACATAACCTTTCACCTGATTAACTCCTTCATATTTGGTTCTAGCCTGACATACATGGCATGTTATTGTTACTTACCCTTTGGTAATGCAGTCTTTTGCTAAAACAAATGTAAGACTTTGTGTCTCGATCTACCCAGTCACTCTGATTAAATCTACAGGTTCAGTGCTTCTGTCTACAGGTTTCTGCAGAAAGTGTATCATCACACGTTAGTGTGTTTTGAAACATTAGCACGTTCTACCTTCAGTGTAAAAGGCAGAATAGCATTCATAGTGCTGAAATGACAAGCTGGCAATCTCAAAAGAGCTTACAATCTAACACAGGTGACTGCACAGCTACACATGTTATTCAGTGGGATGTGATAGTGTCAGGTGCAAAATTAGCATCGTTTGCTGTACATGCTGCAAATATTCAAACAATTCAGGTTTTCACAGGATTCTAAACAGAGTTCTAGGGGTTCTTGTTTTAGGGAGTTTATAGAGGGATTGACAGAGTGCTAAAGAAGTGTAATACAGATACTTCTTCTATCTCTTCATTTAAATTTAGTTTAATTGTAGGAACTAGAATAGCTTGTCCATTTAAACCATTGTCAATTCACACATTCTGTACAGTATTCATCATGTTCTGCTGGGACATGCAGAATAAGTGTCATTTAAGAGCCTTTGCAAATTTGCAGTTTATCCAATGACGTACTCACAAGGTAAAATGTAATTGAAACAGTGGATGATTACCAGTATAAGTTACAGAATTATTTAGTGTGTTATCGGGCAAATCTGATGATGTGGGGGAGATTTATAGAGTAAATTTACATATCTTTCTTTCCCCACTCAGGAAACGTTTTACAGCCTGGGGCAGGAGCCTTGGTTGCAAGAGTCGCACAGTTTCTAAGGTATTTGACTTATTCTTAAAAACGATTAAAATGCAGTGTTTTATCTGTACTAATCCATAGGTACTTGCATGAAAAATATAAAAAATTTTGGTCCATCTATAAGAGAAATCTGTCAGATCCCACATCACGACATCATCCAGGATGCAAAGTGTTTAGGATATTGTTCATGTCATGCGCGCGCGCGCACACACACACACACACACGCTAGTTAAGATCTTGTACAGATTATTCCACTGACATATTTTATCTATGTCATAAAAAATGAATGTTAACCTCTTGTTTTAGTGAATGTTAACTTTAATGAATATAATGCAATTGTCTGTAATTTGCAGGTAAGCATACTGATTTCTGTTGAAAATCAGTGAGCAAAGTTTAAGGAAAGCTACATATTTCTGTAATTTTCAATAAAACCCTGTACAGAGGCCAGTTATCCCTTTCTGTTTAACACCGGAGTATTGCAGCATGAGATGGAGTAAGTGCTTAGTAAAGATGGATAACTTACACTAAGCAGTGCGTTTAAGGTGTGATGTAAATTTGCGAATTTGCTATTTAGTCACTTTATTTCTTTTTCTGCCTTAACCAATCAGTCTTACCAGGATCTCAACTAAATTCCTGCCAACCTATCCCCAGCTCCCCCACGTAATTCAGGAAACATTCCAATCGCAGGACTCCGAGATCCTGAGAGAAGGTTCCTAGCTATGACCGAATTTCCTGTTACCCAAATAGTTACACTCCTTGTGCCTTCACTGAGTGCTCTGAAGTAGGCTGCTGTGTTCCCTGCTGAGTCCTGAAACATTTTTCTGTTTTTCAGTGGAATTCCAGAGACTGTTCCAAACCATACTATTAACAGGCAATGCTCCTCAGGGCTGCAGGCAATCATTGACATAGCAGGTACATGGTGTCTTCAGTCACTTAATTCTGTTATTTTCAAATCAAACCTCTAAAATTGTAATTGTAGGTCTTTGCTGTGAAATGTCAATTTATTCTTTTCTTTAATTTGTTGGAGAACAGCATAATGGTTGCTCTTACGTGGACTGTCTTTTACCTACTACGGTTTTTTTTTTTTTTTTTATTGCTTTCTACGAACTAATCCAACACGGATAGTTTAAACTTGGAATGAGAAACTCAAAAATCTGGAATCTTTGCAAACAGTTTTATCAACTGACCTTTGCTCTAATGAGCTTACAATATTTATAGATACAGGCAGCTATGGTGCAAATACATGGAAAAACATTCTTTATTTTGATCATATATTTTCATCAATGATTGCAATTCGTGGCCTGCATGTGCTTGTGTTCATTTAAAATTCATTGGGGTCCATGTAGAATCCCACTAGGCGCATGCGTCGTTGATGGGGAACCCTTCAGGGCTTTTGCTGCAATGTGGAAGTCTACCCCCCAGAGGCTCGCGACATAGGTGTGTGGGTGCAGGGATTTGTCTTAAATGCCAGTGCGGAGGAGCCCTCTGTGTTCCATTTAAGAAACGTGGTTGCGGCAGCAGTGCATCCCAAAACTGAGAGGAGAGAATATCAAGAGCTTTCTAGTGTGAGAACTTATGCAGAATTTATGGTGTTGGCGGTCACTAGAAATACTCTGCTTACCCTCAACTGGTAAACTCCCACAGCCATTTTGAGCAAAGGGTAAGCGGAGTATCTTTAGTCGAATAACATCCAACTCCTCCAGTGAGGACCAGGATAACCCCTGCCAGTCCAAAAGGGGGGGAAAGGGCCATCAATATGTCACCACAAGGGCACTCCAGCCTCTCCTGCACACTGTGCACACTGTTTAAAGTAAAGGAGTTTGTGTGTATCAGCTGTATGGTCGGCAACTGCTCCATGGTGTACCAGCCCGGTTAAAGGTTAGGTAAGTCCCTACCAATCTCTTGAAGAGTACCAAACAAAGACGAGAAACCTGAAATATTAAGAGACTAGTGAGGAGCTCACTCACCTAACGCCTGCTCAGCTTGACTGTCAGGCCCTGTCCCCAATTTTTAATACATTTTATCAAATACATTTTTTAAATGTATTTAGCAGCTCAGTTTTTCTCAGTGTGCTAATACAGTAAAGGACCATGGACATGAGTGGGAAATGTTTTACAGTTGTCAAAATGTTTTTTAACTTGTATATCAGGGCATCACATTCACTGTTAAAGGAATAATTAGCAAATGGTTTTTCAGACACCCAGTGGGCAAAGGAGGCCACTGGAGCCACTTGGATGGATTGGGTTATATACGGCTCCCTATCTGCCCTGGGTGAAACACCATTGGTCTCCACACACAGCATGTATACAGACATGGTTCTTCTTCCTACAAACCCGTTTTTGTTTTTAAAAACCTTTCATTAACATTTATTTGAAAAATGTATAAATGTGTGTTTGTTTTCCAGGTGGCATCAGGAATGGGTCCTTTGACATTGGTTTGGCATGTGGGTAAGATACCAGAGTGAATTTGCTCTAATGCACTTTCTTTCTTCAACACATGGAGATTTGAATTTGTTTATTCTCATGGTCTAAGCCCTTTGCCATCCTGGGATAATTCCTTTTTAGAGACCTGGTTAAAATACACATTGTTCTCAGACTGCCGCCCAAGACAGACCATATCATTGGCACTCAATACATTGGGCATAGGCGTGCGCAGCCTATTGTACAAGGGTGTGCACCCTAAAGCAGAAACACACACACAGCGTGTGTGTGTGTGTGTGTGTGTGTATATATATATATATATATATATATATATATATATATATATACATACACACTGCAGTGTGTGTGTATGGGTGCTGTTAGTGTGGGTGAGGGTGCTGTGTGTGTAAGGGTGCTCTTAGTGTGGGTGAGGGTGCTGTGTGTGTAAGGGTGCTGTTAGTGTGTGTATGTGTGAGGGTGCTGTGTGTGTAAGGGTGTTGTGTTGTTAGTGTATGCTGTGTGTAAGGGTGTTGTTAGTGTGTGTGTGTGCGCTGTATGTTTTTGTGTAATGTGTGGGGGCCGTTTAGTTAATATCCTCCCTCCCTTCTTACCTTATGTAGGGAGGGGGGACCGTGCTCCTGCCTTCCCTGGTGGTGCAACGCTAAGACCACGCGAGAGGAACCCGGCGGAGCTGCTGACAAGCTCCCCGGGTCCTCTCCTGCCTCCCTCCCTGCCTGTGGGTTGGTGAGGGAGATCTTTGGTCTCCCTCACCGGCCCATGGAGGGAGGCACATAGCGCATGCCGCGGGGATTAGGGTGTGCCCAGGCACACCCGGCACACCTATGATATTGGGGGAACATCCCAGATAATGTCATTGACAGACTTTCCATATTCAGCACCACTTCCTGGCAGCAAGGTGGCACTGCACTTTGCTAAAATCTTGGCATGTTAATGGTTTACACCAGTGGTAGTCAACCTTTTTCTACCAACCGCCCACTAATGCATCTTTTTGGTTGAGAAAATTTCCTTACTGCCCACCAGTTTTCGCGCAAGTGCAGAATATTTTTTAGAAAGGAGGGTGTTTTTAAAAAAAAAAATAAACGTACATTTATCTTTTTATTTCTACTTAATGCATGTTTATAATGTTTTTAACTTTATAAAGTTTAATGAGAAAACAATAAAGTAAATAGAAATTACATTTACTAGTGATTAATGAGATCCTTGAGGTTGATGCTGCAAGACTAAATATTTGATATCTGGTTCGATTTTCGTAAGGAACAAACGAAGGTCTCCTCTTTCGGTGATATTCAGACGACTTCTCTGTTTGCGCATAATATGATTTCTCATCTGTGCGTCAGCTCCCCTCCCCACCTTTTTTTTCCCCCTTTTTAAATTTTTTTAACCTTCCCTATAGCAATGCCCAGTAGGAAGGCTGAGCTAGGTATCCCACTTACTATTACTTACTATAGCCCACTATAACAGACAGGCACACATACATACAGACACACACACAAGACACACACACAAGACACATTCATACAAACAGACAGGCATACATACCTACAGACACACACATAAGACATACATACAAAGACACATACACACAGACAGACACAAGACACACATACATATAAAGACACACACACACAACACATAAATACAAAGATAAGACACACATACATACACACATATATAGACACACACATATATACAGACACACACACACACACACAAGATATACATACAAAGATACATACACACACACACACACACACAAAATACTGACTTTCCCTGGGGTCCAGGTGGATGGGAGTCAGAGTTCCCACTCTGACTCCTTCCTCCCGCGCGGTCTGTGTGTTAGCTAGGAGGAGTGACGTCCAGTCACTTCCTCCCAGCTTTGTGATGTAATCACAGGGGGCCCGGTCACGCTGTTAAAGCGTCCAGCGCTGACCGGCCCCCTCACAACCCACATCCATCGGGTGGCCCTGACAGCATGGGCCACCCGTTGGACCCCTCCATATGCGGCCCTGGCAGTTTGCCGCACGGGCCGGGGCCGCAAGTGGTACCCGGTCGCAGGGGTACCGCCGGCTCGCACCCGCCCGCCCACCCAATCTCTCCAAATGAGGAAATCCCTAACGCCCACCTGGAATCCTGAAACGCCCACTAGTGGGTTTGCATTGCACAGGCCTTTTGCCATTCTAAGGGTTAATATCCAGAGAACACAGCCGGGTATTAAGAGCTGTCCTTTTCTGCAGATGATCATACTGAGCAAAAGACTGATGGTTTCTCATTGACTCTATCTGGGGCCTTATTGTACAATTACATCTGCAATAAGTTTAGCTGGAAGTTAGGTTGAAAATCTAAACTGTTTCTAACCTGTAAACATGACCATTGGACTTTCATAATGTACTCTGTTGTGGAGGGGGGGGGGGGTTTACTCCCTGCTAGTTTGGCGTAAACATTGGTGCAGTTATTGAGGGGTAAAGGTTAGTCTGACTATGGGTTAAGAATGTGTCTGAGCTCACAGCATTGCAAGGATCTGCGCTGTAGCTATAGCTCTGCTTCTTCTAATTTATAAACTATACCTTAACTCATTGTTACAGAGTTCCTGCTACTTATAATATGGACAGTCTTTGTTTCTTGGCTGAGATTGTGAAATATCTGTAAACATTATGTACATAATATCTAACCATCTATTATATGCACCTAACCCACCTTTCCCTCTTTTTGCTATGATTGTTTCTGCGCGCAGCACTGTCTCCCTAGTGTAATCTGCGCGCAGCCCTGTCTCCCTAGTGTAATCTGCGCGCAGCCCTGTCTCCCTAGTGTAATCTGCGCACAGCCCTGTCTCCCTAGTGTAATCTGCGCGCAGCCCTGTCTCCCTAGTGTTAATCTGCATTGTTTTGTTTTGTTTTTTCTTTAGGGTGGAATCCATGAGCCTCAGAAGTGTTGGGGATCCTGGAGATCTCAGTCCTCGTACTATGGATGTACAGAAAGCCAGCGATTGTACCATCCCCATGGGGTGAGAACCTTCAGAGTTCTGATCTTACGTGGAAACTCTCCATGCCTGCCTTCCTGCTTTGACAACTCTGTCTGCCCACCTATTCTGGTATCATGCTGCCTTTAAATCCCAATCACATTTTCATACAGTGGTTTCCCAACCACTGATCATTTTCTCCACCGCTTGCCCATTTTCCTCCTCTTTTATTGAATTCTGTTTACTAGAATGCTTTGTATAGAATGCTTGTCTGTTGTATTGTACATGAAATATAGAGATTAGAATCCCCTCCAGCAATATTGTCTGACACAGAGAAGTTAGAATGGCCAGCAATGGATTATTTCCTTAAAGAGACACTCTGGACCCCTTAAGCACTTTAGCTTGCCAAAATATATATATATATTTATTTATTTATATACATATATTTTTTTTTATTTTTTTTTTTTTGAAGAGTGACACTTTTATAAATGAACCTTGTTACATCCAACTAGCTGTTAATCAGACAACTGGTCCTGTTACTTCCTGGTTTGGTTAGTCCAGTGGTACTAAACTCAAGAGGCAGCATTTGCTCAGAGCACCTGCCTTGCAAAGACTTCTCATTGAGCTTTATTGGGAAGTCTGTGACAGCCACAGAAAGTTTGGCGGAGTTAGAAAGGGAGGGCTTGCAAAGGCTGCAGGCAAGAGACCTGAAGGTTTTACAAGCTCTTTTTAGATATACCTCTAATGGAAAAAAGACTACATAAATGCATATATGTTTTTATTTGGGGTATAGTAAACAATTTGGGGTTTTGTATGTGTCTCTTTAATATAGAGAATATTGATTCTGTGAATTCTTATCTCGAACGCCTAGCTCAAGCATGTCAAATTCAAAGTCTAGCACGGGCCAAATAAACAAGGTTTAAGTTAAAATTTAGGTTTACATTTTTATAGAAACATAAGTTTATTTTAAAAAGTACTGTATAAAAAAAAAAATGCACCCCCTCTCCTAAACTCCAGTCCCCGCCCCCTCTCCTAAATTCCAGTCCCCGCCCCTTCTCCCAAATTCCAGTCCCCCCCTCTCCCAAATCAGAGTCCCTCCCCCTCTCCCAAATCAGAGTCCCTCCCCCTCTCCCAAATCAGAGTCCCTCCCCCTCTCCCTCTAGCCAACAAGCAGACTCCACTTACATTGCCGCTGCCAGTATGTGACTCCGGAGTCCGGCCTTTGGTATACCCCAAATTGCGCTGTCCGCACCCTGTGCCAAATCTGATTCTCCCGCTACTTCTTGAAACCCTGTGAAGGTGGAGCACGTCGACGTCATGTCAGAATGTGACGTGGTGGTGCATACTCCACTGTCCAGCTGCGACCATCGCAACACAGACCGACACACACTCACTGACAGACTCACTCACGCAGTAGACATTGCTTACCTTGATTTCAGTAAGGCTTTTGACACTGTTGCACATAGAAGGCTCATCAGTAGACTTCGATCTTTAAGTTTGGATTCCAATATTGTTGAATGGGTAAGGCAGTGGCTGAGTGACAGGCAACAGAGGGTTGTAGTCAATGGAGTATATTCGAAGCATGGGCTTGACACCAGTGGGGTACCTCAGGGATCTGTACTTGGACCCATTCTCTTCAATATTTTTATTAGTGATATTGCAGAAGGCCTTGATGGTAAGGTATGTATTTTTGCTGATGATACTAAGATATGAAACAGGGTTGATGTTCCAGGAGGGATAAGCCAAATGGCAGATGATTTAGGTAAACTAGAAAAATGGTCAGAGTTGTGGCAACTGACATTTAATGTGGATAAGTATAAGATAATGCATCTTGGACGTAAAAACCCAAGGGCAGAGTACAGAATATGTGATAGAGTCCTAACCTCAACATCTGGTATATGACATGTATATTAATGTGTGTATTAGTATGTGTATATATATATATATATATATATATATATATATATATATATATATTAATGTATTTATATATGCATAATACACAGAGAAATGTCATTAATATGTACCATATGTAATGAGCAGATATTGGCCCAGTCTTGTTGCTAGGTGCATACTCCATCACAATAACATTTAAAGTGAAGAGTGCACCCACAGGACTTCAAAATAAACATTTTTTTACAGTTGTGCCCTACATACATTCACCATTTCAGTCCCATTACCAAGCTTTCCTTAATATGTCAAGGTAGTTGGACTGAAACATTGATTACATGCAAAGGCACGTCTGCTTAAAATAAATCTGCACTTTTATTTATTTTGAAGCCTATGAGTGCGCTTTTTTTTACGTTGAAGTACTTTTTAATTTTAAGTTATCTGTTCTAACTCTGTACCTGCACACTATGCTGGCGCGACACATTATGGGGCTGGTAAATATTTTTTTTCCAGGGCTGCTTTTAATTCCCAGTCCGGCCCTGCTTAAAGGTAGGCAGACAATGTAATACAGAAGTGCATAAATAGTTAGGTGAGAGCACACAAAAATATGTAAAATAACACACATGCAGGTTACCATATGTCAGGGTACAACCTAAAAGAACAAAAAACAACAGATCATAGTATAAGCTGTGGGAATAATTCAAACAAATAAAAAGACCCAAATGGTCGCACTCACGTGGTACTGAGCCGTTTGAAGTAGGCTCAGACTATAAGCGCCTTGGGATATACACACATGGCTGCTGGAATCAAATGTTGGAAATTATTAATAAAGTGCTCCACTGGATACTGCAATTCTCCCTCCGGTTTTTCAATAAACACCAGTCTTTGAAGGATATTAGTAAAGGTAGCCAGGGCAAACTTTAATTAAATTCATATAAATATAAAAACATAAAATAACAAACTGCACAACCGCACTAACGCATTTCGACAATAGTCATTATCAAAGTGCTTGCTAATTACTTTGACTCACAGTTCTTGTTTATATATCCCAAAAAATGCGCGTTTCTTTCTTGACTCGTGTTCCTCATTGTATCCGGGTGCGTCATTTCCATGTATGTCGTTTCCGGGTCAGCGGATGGTACATGTCTCTGTTTCATGACGTCTTTCCAGCATTCTCCGATCACCTGATCGGGTTCAGTCTAATGACATTCATTTTCCTGGATTTCTAATTTCCCCTCCCCCTTTTTTATTTTTATATTTTTTATCTTGTTCATTCAATTTAGCAATTTTAACTTCTTTTATGGATTGTTGATTATGCGTATGAAATATATTTTTACTGCATAGAATGTCGATTTATTTTTTTTTCAAATTTTATATCAATTTTTTTCTTTTTTTCATATCCATTTCATATTGATTTTATGTGTATAAAGTTAACTGTGTTTTTGTTTTTTTTTTGTAATACTTTATTTTCAAATGACAAAAATTACGGGCACATAAATGTTGTGTAGGAGTAGCGCATGGGCTTATGCAAAAGCCAAAGTTCTAACATTCCAGCAGTACATACTTATACAGAAGGATATAGAGAAAGGATTATTTGGTAACCACAGGTTTATTTTGTGCGAGCCCTCAGGGTCCCCCTCCCGCCGGGCTCTGGAAAGGGGAAAGGTTAAAATCTTACCTTTCTCCAGCACCGTGCGGGGAGCTCTCCTCCTCCATAGCGACATCATCGGCTGAATGCGCATGCGCGGCAGGAGCCGCACGCGCATTCAGCCAGTTTATAGGAAAGCATTTACAATGCTTTCCTATGGATGCTGGCGTCTTCTCACTGTGATTTTTCACAGTGAGAAGCAAGCAAGGGCCTCTAGCGGCTGTCAAGAGACAGCCACTAGAGGCTGGATTAACCATATTATAAACATAGCAGTTTCTCTGAAACTGCTGTGTTTATAAAAAAAGGGGTTAAACCTAGCTGGACCTGGCACCTAGACCACTTCATTAAGCTGAAGTGGTCTGTGTGCCTAAAGTGGTCCTTTAAATAAGTCTTATAAATGCGCGTGTCCGCTAAATAGTGAACACAGTCCCATATAACTTAATTCTATACATTTAATTAAACTATTTGCCCGTTGAAGCTGAACCCGATCAGATGATCCGATAATGCCGGAAAGACGTCCTTAAACAGAGACACGAATCATTAGACTGAACCCGATCAGGTGATCGGAGAATGCTGGAAAGACGTCATGAAACAGAGACATGTACGCACCCGGATAAAACGAGTCAAGAAAGAAACGCACATTTTTGGGGATATATAAACAAGAACTGTGAGTCAAAGTAATTAGCAAGCACTTTGATAATGACTATTGTCGAAATGCGTTAGTGCGGTTGTGCAGTAGAGAGCATTTGTTATTTTATGTATTTTATATTTATATGAATTTAATTAAAGTTTGCCCTGGCTACCTTTACTAATATCCTTCAAAGACTGGTGTTTATTGAAAAACCGGAGGGAGAATTGCAGTATCCAGTGGAGCACTTTATTAATAATTTCCAACATTTGATTCCAGCAGCCATGTGTGTATATCCCAAGGCGCTTATAGTCTGAGCCTACTTCAAACGGCTCAGTACCACGTGAGTGCGACCATTTGGGTCTTTTTATTTGTTTGAATTATTCCCACAGCTTATACTATGATCTGTTGTTTTTTGTTCTTTTAGGTTGTACCCTGACATATGGTAACCTGCATGTGTGTTATTTTACATATTTGTGTGTGCTCTCACCTAACTATTTATGCACTTCTATGATTGTATTTTATGTGGTTTGAGTGACACACACAAGATGATTGGAGCACCTTTCTTCATTTTTATCCTTTTATTCTATTGCTTATAGACAATGTATTAGAGCAGCAGGAAATGCTAGCAGAATGCTTGGTTGTATAGGGAGAGGTATTAGCAGTAGAAAGAGGGAAGTGCTCATGCCATTGTACAGAACACTGGTGAGACCTCACTTGGAGTATTGTACGCAGTACTGGAGACCGTATCTTAGGAAGGATATTGATACCTTAGAGAGGGTTCAGAGAAGGGCTACTAAACTGGTTCATGGATTGCGGGATAAAACTTACCAGGAAAGGTTAAAGGATCTTAACATGTATAGCTTGGAGGAAAGACGAGACAGGGGGGATATGATAGAAACATTTAAATATATAAAGGGAATCAACACAGTAAAGGAGGAGACTATATTTAAAAGAAGAAAAACTACCACAACAAGAGGACATAGTCTTAAATTAGAGGGACAAAGGTTTAAAAATAATATCAGGAAGTATTACTTTACTGAGAGGGTAGTGGATGCATGGAATAGGCTTCCAGCTGAAGTGGTAGAGGTTACCACAGTAAAGGAGTTTAAGCATGCGTGGGATAGGCATAAGGCTATCCTAACTATAAGATAAGGCCTGGGACTAATGAAAGTATTTAGAAAATTGGGCAGACTAGATGGGCCGAATGGTTCTTATCTGCCGTCACATTCTATGTTTGCTAATGAATATTCATTTTATGCCAAGCCCTTGCGCTATTTATTTTTGCATTTTCGAGATTTAACTAGTAAGATCAGAGGATTTAGTAGAATTAATGCAGTAGCAGACAAGTTGGACACACAGGAACAGAGGGTTTGAGGGCCCTGCTTATAATGTGCTCTGCTAAATCCTCATAGAATGATGGGATTGGTCAAGGTATATTTGCAATATAGCCAATAACCTCCTCTCTGTTCTAGGATTACTTCAGAGAATGTGGCTGAAAGATTTGGTGTTACCCGACAGAAACAAGACACGTTTTCCCTGAGATCACAACAAAAGTAAAGAAACCATATTTTAAATAAAAGCATTTAATCAGAGGACAAAACTACATGTTCGTTTTTCTAACGGCAATGGTGAATATTGTACCCACAGAGCTGCGGCCGCCCAGCAAGCTGGTCGCTTTAGAAATGAAATTGTTCCTGTAAACACCAAGTTTACGGATGACCAGGGAAACACAAAAACTATAACTGTGTCCAATGACGAAGGCATCAGGGCAAATACCACCCTGGAGGGTCTCAACAAGCTGCGGCCGGCTTTCAAGGAGAATGGCAGTACCACAGCTGGTGGGTTTGTTGCCTTATTAAATATATTTCTACTTGTGAAACAATAGCTTGCTCAGATTGCCGCTATTTCTGCAGAATGGTTTATTTTAAACTCTTCTCTATGCTGCAACAGGCCACTAAAGTCAGGCAACTATTAATTGGATAGCTTTTTATTGTGCACTTAAAATCTCTTAGAGCAGAACTGTCATTTTAGAAGAACTGTGTTATTCTGTAGAGCATTATGTTATTCTAATGTGTTTAAACCAATAAATATGTTCCTGCAAGTTTTGCCAGTATGCAATATAATAAGAGAGCACCAATCAGTGCAGGGGGTGCATATTCCAATCAATAAGGAGACACATGAGTAGATGTCCAGTGCAGTGGTATTCACATGGGCCACCTGCAACAATATTTAACTGCAGCTGCTGCGCTCAAAACCTGATTTTGTGTTAATTTATTCAGCCATCATACAAACCTTGACAAAGATTCCACAAAGAGTCGAAATGTTGCTGAATAAAGTCAGATTGTAGATGGTTGAAACCTGCAGTAACAGCAGTATTGAAAAAATACCCCTCCAAAAAAAGCACTTTTTACCCGTATTTCGCAATTATGTTTTTAGTTGTGATTGGACAGCGTGTATAATAATTTTAATAGACTATTTCGTCACCAGGCAATTCCAGTCAAGTCAGTGATGGAGCCGCAGCTGTTCTCCTGGCTAAACGATCCACGGCTGTGCAGCTAGGTCTTCCCATCATGGGTGTGTTAAGATCATATGCTGTTGTTGGTGTCCCTCCTGATGTTATGGGTATCGGACCTGCATATGCCATACCTGTGGCTTTGGAGAAAGCAGGTAAGGTTTCATTCTCTGTAATCAGATCTGTCCAAAAGCTCCCCTCTATATCTGGTGTGAGAAGCTCACAAGGATACTTAAATCTATAAACCTGTCTGCATTGTAACGTATGTAGAACAATGTGTCCTTCCATTGCAGGTCTTACCATACACGATATCGATGTATACGAAATTAATGAAGCATTTGCCAGTCAGGTAAGCTTCTGTGTAATATTCCTTTTTTGGCTTACTCCATTTCCTAACCGCTTGTGTAACCCTGCTGCTTAATCCTAACCCCAGGTATAATGCAATGTCACCGCACTGTACTGGACAGCAAAATAGGCACCATAACCACACCGTGTAATCAAGAACATTTCACTATCCCGAACAGTAACCTCCTCTATGGAGGAGTTATGGAATGAGAAAAGAATAAAAGCACTCACAAACCGAGCTGATACTGTGTGTGACAGGCTTTCTAGTGCAGTACTGCTGACGGGATTTATCAGACAAACTAAGGTGCAGATTTAGTATTCAATTTGTGTGAATTTATAGATCTATTTATTTTCATTGCTATAAATACTGTGACTTTTGAAAGTTATGCTTGTGTACAAATCATATATTTTAGAATGTTTCCAAGAAAGATACAGAGTAATAATTTATAACCCAGAAAATATCCGATTAATAAATACAAAAATACTTTTTTTTTTTTTTATTAATCGAAGTCAAAAAGTGTATAAGTAAAAATAGGATTATGATAGTAATGATTATACTTTACATGTTATGGATTCTGCTACAACAATGGTCTCCTATAATATTCCATAGGCTCATAGCATCACACAACAGTGGCTCATTTATATAAAGAAATAGTGTATATACAGGGAGTGCAGAATTATTAGGCAAATTAGTATTTTGACCACATCATCCTCTTTATGCATGTTGTCTTACTCCAAGCTGTATAGGCTCGAAAGCCTACTACCAATTAAGCATATTAGGTGATGTGCATCTCTGTAATGAGAAGGGGTGTGGTCTAATGACATCAACACCCTATATCAGGTGTGCATAATTATTAGGCAACTTCCTTTCCTTTGGCAAAATGGGTCAAAAGAAGGACTTGACAGGCTCAGAAAAGTCAAAAATAGTGAGATATCTTGCAGAGGGATGCAGCACTCTTAAAATTGCAAAGCTTCTGAAGCGTGATCATCGAACAATCAAGCGTTTCATTCAAAATAGTCAACAGGGTCGCAAGAAGCGTGTGGAAAAACCAAGGCGCAAAATAACTGCCCATGAACTGAGAAAAGTCAAGCGTGCAGCTGCCACGATGCCACTTGCCACCAGTTTGGCCATATTTCAGAGCTGCAACATCACTGGAGTGCCCAAAAGCACAAGGTGTGCAATACTCAGAGACATGGCCAAGGTAAGAAAGGCTGAAAGACGACCACCACTGAACAAGACACACAAGCTGAAACGTCAAGACTGGGCCAAGAAATATCTCAAGACTGATTTTTCTAAGGTTTTATGGACTGATGAAATGAGAGTGAGTCTTGATGGGCCAGATGGATGGGCCCGTGGCTGGATTGGTAAAGGGCAGAGAGCTCCAGTCCGACTCAGACGCCAGCAAGGTGGAGGTGGAGTACTGGTTTGGGCTGGTATCATCAAAGATGAGCTTGTGGGGCCTTTTCGGGTTGAGGATGGAGTCAAGCTCAACTCCCAGTCCTACTGCCAGTTCCTGGAAGACACCTTCTTCAAGCAGTGGTACAGGAAGAAGTCTGCATCCTTCAAGAAAAACATGATTTTCATGCAGGACAATGCTCCATCACACGCGTCCAAGTACTCCACAGCGTGGCTGGCAAGAAAGGGTATAAAAGAAGAAAATCTAATGACATGGCCTCCTTGTTCACCTGATCTGAACCCCATTGAGAACCTGTGGTCCATCATCAAATGTAAGATTTACAAGGAGGGAAAACAGTACACCTCTCTGAACAGTGTCTGGGAGGCTGTGGTTGCTGCTGCACGCAATGTTGATGGTGAACAGATCAAAACACTGACAGAATCCATGGATGGCAGGCTTTTGAGTGTCCTTGCAAAGAAAGGTGGCTATATTGGTCACTGATTTGTTTTTGTTTTGTTTTTGAATGTCAGAAATGTATATTTGTGAATGTTGAGATGTTATATTGGTTTCACTGGTAATAATAAATAATTGAAATGGGTATATATTTGTTTTTTGTTAAGTTGCCTAATAATTATGCACAGTAATAGTCACCTGCACACACAGATATCCCCTAACATAGCTATAACTAAAAACAAACTAAAAACTACTTCCAAAAATATTCAGCTTTGATATTAATGAGTTTTTTGGGTTCATTGAGAACATGGTTGTTGTTCAATAATAAAATTAATCCTCAAAAATACAACTTGCCTAATAATTCTGCACTCCCTGTAGGGAAGTTGTAGACACAGCTAACAATCAGGCACACTGGTAGTTACTGAGTCACAGGAGATATAGTTTGATTGATATCAAAGAAAATGAAATTTGAATCTACAATAATAAGTAGGAACACACAAACTGGATAAAATAACTGCAGTCTTGGAATCCTCCAATGTCGTTCTCCACACCTCCAGGACAGCAAAACAGAGGAACTGGCACCAAAACCACTGTTTGTGCTGCACAGCTGATCCTGTTTTTTGCTATTAAGCAGCACTTAGCATAAGCATTTGGTTTGCACGAATGCACATTTTAAAGCTTCATCCTACTAGTGAGAAACTGCAAATATGGCCCTCCAGGATGGACACACATACAGCCACCCACATTTTGGAGAAGTTAAGTAATCTTGTAATTTATACACTTGCCGGTGAGTTTGCCAGCTTAATGTATATATTCCGTGTGTACCTTCAAAAATTGGCAATGATATCCACATTTCCATAATCCCTGCCCTGCGTCCATTATACTGAGATATATGGATGGCATACTGAAATTGAGAATCCGTATTGCTTCCCTCACTTGCATCTTCGTGTCTGTAGTTTCTGCCTTCTCCTAACGTGTGTTGTCTCATTCAGGCTGTTTATTGTGTGGAGAAGTTGGGAATCCCCGTGGAGAAGGTGAATCCTAACGGTGGGGCCATCGCACTTGGACATCCTCTTGGTTGTACTGGAGCTCGCCAAACAATAACTCTGCTAAATGAGCTTAAACGCAGGGGGAAAAGGTGAGCGCAATAATAAAGATCTGTAATAACAGGCTTGTTTACCAAGGGGAAAAAGCAATCCAGGTTTAATGAGGACCCCTCTGTGCATATACACTTAAAGGGTTATTCACGAACGTGAGAATTCAAAGTGAATTTCACATTTAAGGTAAAACGAACCAAATGCATAACTGACTTTTTCTATTTCCAGTTCAGCTTTTTCGATTTTGAATTCTCAAGTTTGTGAATAACCCTGTAAGTGTATGTACAGTGAAGACCTCAGTAAATCAGGAGTGCTTTTTCACCTATTGCTATGTGCTGGCCATTTTTTGTTTTTGGATTCTATATGTAGTGAATAGTAAGACAACCAAACGTAATGCTGAGCAAGCTCTTAAGTTGGCAATGCATTATGGGAAATCTATTCCACAGCAGGTCTATAGACTGGCTGCCTGTTTGTGGTGTAAATCATTGTCTCTCCACAGCATCTTGCCATTCCAAATTATGTATCTATTACTGCACCAATGCATTCCGCACTACAGCAGGCATTGACATAAAAGGGATTAAACACTATAGAGGCCAAGTGGTAGTATATTTATTGAAGGCCGTAGCCAAGTATCTACAAGCAGATTATTAAGTTCCTAAGAGACCCAAAATGAGCACTGACCTTTGTTTTGCACCCTCAGGTTTATCTCTTTTTGCAAACGTGTTCTATTTCCTTTACTGATCTGTAGAGATATTCTATACACCTGTATGTAAACATTTTATTATGCCTGACTTACTTCTGAACTCATAAGGTTCAGTAATTTGATTTTGAAGTTCCTTTAAGGAGAGATTAACCATGTTATGTATATAACAAGCTGCGCGATAAAGGGGTTTAATTACGGTTTTTCTATCTCTGAACCTTTTCCAATGTGTAAATCTTTACATATTTTGTTTCAGAGCATTTGGCGTTGTATCAATGTGTATTGGAACAGGAATGGGAGCCGCTGCTGTGTTTGAATACCCAGGAAATTAAACCCCAAAACTAATCTAGAAATCAGTGGACCGAAAGAAGATTGGAGCACCTACCAGACTATGAAAATAGAATGAGGAAATTGTCTGTCTTACCGAACGAGTCAAGGTTAACAAATTTCATTAGAAACGAGGAGCCAGGGCCAAACATAACAAGTCATAACTTCACACACCTACTTAGCCGCTCATATACGCACATAACTAGCCACACATTCACACCTAATTAGCTACTCATACACATGCATACACTGACACAGCTGATTTACCTTATCTCCTCCAAACTGCGAGCAGCCAGGGAAAGAGAATAGAGACTAACACACTGCCCCTAGTGTCCGGCACTTAGAAAGATACTGGGAGCTGTTAAAGTGTCCATTGGGTTCTAAATCCTGATTTGATTATAGTAAGTTAATATTAATTTACCATTAGAACGGTTTAACATTTGCTAATCATGGACTCTTACAGTGTAAAGTTTAATGAAAATGAACAGGCTTCCTAGGCTTTAAATGTTTTATATGCATCCGTCCAGGGTGGTCTTTGGAGTGCCTTTCATAATAAACATAATTTAATAGATGGCTGGAGTCTTTTTTTTCTTTTCTTCAATTCTCCCTTATCCCCCTGCTTACAATTTGCTACCAAACAATATACAGAAACATATTAATGGTTTGTTGTTATTCTCCCACGTTATGAACTTCTATAGTAAAGGTAAGTAGCCATGAAAGGTTGGTAATATCTTTGTTTTAGTTAAACATTTTATATTTATGTACATAACTTATCCAAAAAGGACGCATTCTATTTTGTCTGTTTTTAAACATACACTTTGGTACCAAGTCCATGGTATTCATTTTATTGACCTGCGATGGGTGAAATGGCTCCGTTTGTGTGGCCATAATTTGAAGTTAAAACTTTGAGATCCTGGAGCAATAACTGCAATACATCGTAAGAGGCTTGTTTCTCTTACACAGTGGGGAGTCAGGTTTCCTTGACTCCTCCATAAAGTGAGAGACCTTTTAATTCTTATCCAGAGCTATTGCTGTGAAGAGAGACTGGATCTAATCACCCTCTACATGTGGCTCATATTGTTTAGATTTTACAGATTATCCATTCCTGCTAGTTAGGTGCCTTTTGTTAAGTTAGAGGGTTTAGGGCCTGTGACTAAGGCTACACCTGGACTTTACATGGACTAGAGAAACTCTCAGCATTCTCATTCAGGTAAGAAGAATTACAATTTGCAGCATCACTGGTGCTTGTATAGATTAGAGGCAGTTTGGGTTAGTTCACACACTGATGTAATCTGCATTACAAAACCCGTGATACACAGCAATACGCAGCCTGTCAAACGTATCGCAGATTCGCATGATGAGTGTGCGGACACCAGTCCCAAAACAACTGAAAACAATTTCCAGAATGGCTCCAAAACTCGATGCAAAAGCCGCTCCAACACCTCCACACTCAACGCCATGTGCTACCCACAGGCTCCAGCATGCAGGGGGCGGTGCTATAAACCTCCCAGGTGCAAAGCATTCTGGGGAAACTTGCTTTGTATTGCAAAAAAAAAAAAAAATTGTAAACCGAGGCATTATTTTCAATGGATTTTCATTTGTAAACGTGTGTGTGTGTGTGTGTGTATATGTGTGTGTGTGTGTGTATATGTATGTATGTATATATATATATATATATATATATATATATATATATATACACACACTACTCTAAAAATAAAGGGAACACTTAAACAACACAATGTAACTCCAAGTCAATCACCCTTCTGTGAAATCAAACTGTCCACTTAGGAAGCAACACTGAGTGACAATCAATTTCACATGCTGTTGTGCAAATGGGATAGACAACAGGTGGAAATTATAGGCAATTAGCAAGACACCCCCAATAAAGGAGTGGTTCTGCAGGTGGTGAACACTTCTCAGTTCCTATGCTTCCTGGCTGATGTTTTGGTCACTTTTGAATGCTGGCGGTGCTTTCTAGTGGTAGCATGAGACGGAGTCTACAACCCACACAAGTGGCTCAGGTAGTGCAGCTCATCCTGGATGGCACATCAATGCGTGCTGTGGCAAGGTTTGCTACGTCTGTCAGCGTAATGTCCAGAGCATGGAGGCGCTACCAGGAGCCAGGCCAGTACATCAGGATACGTGGAGCAGGGGAGGGCTGGCAGCCTTAGGCCTGGGGGGCAAAACCAGTCAAGAGGCCCATTGCACCACCAAATCAGTGCAATGGTGCCCACCTTTTCCTGGATTTATAACGGATATTGATGTTATGCTAATCAGTAGCTCTTTGCCATACCCACTCCTTCACGGCTCTGACTTTCAATGTTGTCAGAGCGCAGGCTGAGAATCTCTGAGCCTGTGCTCTGACTCACTAACTGAGCGTCGGAACCACGAGGGAGATGCTATAATCTGACTGCACCTACTGCTAGTGCGCACCAGTGGACCACCAGCGAATCGTTTAAATTGAATAGGCTGGTGTCCCCAACTTGTGAGCTGTGTTGTCCGCCGGGCGCCTCTGTTGTGATGGCACCCTGCGTGACCGCACAGCGTGCACACCCCAATGGCTGGCCCTGCTGACACACACTGATGTTACTACATAGAAATCCCTCAATATTAATACAGACAGCAGAGTAAACACCAATAAACTGTGGAAACAGATCTGATCCCACCCAAATTTATAAAGATTTGCTTACTGGATTTGTTGTAAGATTAAATCATGCCTCCTCCCCTCCCTCTCCCATGCGCTGCTCTGTAAGCTGGGAGGAAGTGAAGAGTAATCACAATCTCTCAGCACAGTGGCACCTGTGGCTGCATGGGGAACAGCTGTATTTGCCGCCCCCATGTGACATCACAATGCCCCACCTATATGAGCTGCCATACGAACTAACGCCAGTGCTGCTCACAGTGTGTGTTTACATTAAAAAGCCTGCAGGGACTGGCTATAGATACCAGAACCACTTCATTAAGCTCCAGTCGTTCTGGGGACTATAGTGTCCCTTTAATGTAATGAAAATTATAGATTAGTGTCACTAATATTATACTAGATTGCCTACTTACAACCAAATGAGGATGATGATGGGCTGCAGTTTGGCTCCACTGGTCTGGTGTAGAACAGGATCTCTGGAGGCTGTTTGCAACTGTGGTCACAAAATTCAATGTTCTGGGAGAATTGGAAGCAGCTCCATTTTTGGGAGGGCCCCTTATACAGCTCAAGGTCTGGGCCCCAGAGCCTGACGGTGAGTATGCCCACAAGGCCCACTCATAAGTCCACTTATATGTTCCACCCACCCATGAGTTCGCTCACAGGGAGTGGAGTGTGTAGGGGATGTGTTATGTGTTATTGTTGAGCAGGGGTTCTCAGCACGTTAGGTCCTCAGGACCCCCTACCAGTCCAGGTTTAGGGATTACCTGGGTGTGGGTGTTTTTCGCGCAAACTGGGGACACACCCAGGTATCTAATCCTAACTGGTAGCGAATCGACGGAAACCCCTGTTAATAGAAGGATCTAATATGTGTGCTTATGGTATGTAGTGCTAGGGATACCAGTTTGTGCAGGTGATGCAGTGTGTTTGTGTGTAGTGGAAGCGGTGTGTATTTGTGTATAAGGAATGTATTGTGTGTTTCTGGTTGTGTGTAAGGGATGCATTGTGTGAATCTGTGTTTGTATGCATAAGGGATGCAAGGTGTGTGTCTGTAAGTGTGTGCATTGAGTGTGCGTTAGTGATGCATTGTGTTTCTGTGTGTATGTAAGAAAAGCAGTGTGTGTGTAAGTATTTGCATTATGTGTTTCTGTGTATGTGTGCAAAGGATGCATTGTCTTTGTGTGTAAGTGTTGCATTGTTTGTGTGTAATGGATGCATTGTGCGTTTCTCTGTGTGTAAGGGAAACATGTTGTGTTTCTGTGTGTGTAGGGATGCATTGTGTGTGTGTATGTGCGTAGTGTCCTCTCCCCCCTGTGTCCTCCTCACCTCCCTCTCCCTGTGTTCTCCTCACCACCCACCCTCCCTGTGTTCTCCTCACCACCCACCCTCCCTGTGTTCTTCTCAGTCCCCCTTCTCCTCATCTCCCCTTCTCCTCACTCTTACTCTCCCCCTCCCCCTTGTGTTCTTCTTACTCCACCCTTGTTCTTCTTACCCCCCGTTTTTCATACCCCCCTTCTTCTTCTTACTCCCCCTCCTCCACCTTCTGTTACTCCCCCCTCCTTCACTTACTCCCTCCCTTCACTTACTCCCCCCATCTTCACTTACTCCCCCCTCTTTCACTTTCTCCCCCCCATCTTCACTTACTCCCCCCTCCTTCATTTACACCCCCCATCTTCACTTACTCCCCCCATCACCACTTACTCCCCCCATCTTCACTTACTCCCCCAATCTTCACTTACACCCCCATCCTTCATTTACAC